CTCTCTTACGATTCATCCTACGATGTAGTAAGATGTCACACGAGTGGATTCTGAAACATGTCAGAAGTTGCTTTTCTACAGTATTGCAGGGTTTCTAATTTCGTCCATCAGACAGAAGAACATGTGTTTTGCAGGCATTGAACTCACTATTCAATAAAAATGACTATTCTGCAAATAGTTTTCTTCGAGAGTAAAAATAAAGTTTTCACAGCAATATAAAAAATGACTTCCTAACACTAGCTCTAGGAAACGTATACAAAATAAATAATACATAACTAAAACTATTCATCCTAAGATTTTTTTAAATATTATAATAAAATGTTGTTATAATTCTGACAGTTTTCCTGCAAAAAACCAATGAATAGGACGATATCAACGAAAATAATAACATTTCAAGCTTTTGATGGTTTATTGTGACTGGGTGCTATGACAGCTGCACAGTCACAGTTTGGCTGGGCAGCGCTTTGTGTTGGTCGAATAATAAATGTTGACTAAAAATGAAAGGTTCTGACATGTTCTGCTGACCCAGCTGTAGTGGTCAGTAATCCCTACATTAATCAAGGTCCCCTTTTTATTAAGGATGTTCCAGGCTTTGATGCGTCCTCATCAAGAGAGTAAATGAATGAAAATAAGTTGTGCCATAGCCATACTATGAAATGCTTGGAGCTTCATCCTTGGTCCCCGCTCTTCTTCAGGTGCTGTGCTGGTTGGTGGAGCCGGTTGCCGCAGTGATCCAGTCTCTGTGCAGCTCCGCCCTCACTGACCTGCTCCAGGAGCTGCAGGGCAGCGAGGGCCAGCTGGCCTCAGTACTGCACAACAAGGTACACCCTGTGTTCAATACACCATAATGACACCAGAGGCCTGTACGACGAAGCCGGATGTTCTCTTAGCGGCTAACTTCAGGGAAAACTCTGGGTTTCCGGTCCTACGACGCTGGTTCTCTTTTTAGCGGGCTAGATCTCCATGGTAACTTATGCTGTGCGGCTAACCTGCTCCGGAGCAGGTTAGGTTGCAGGCTAAGAGATCAACTCAGTGAAAGCACTGCCTGCTGACCAATCAGAGCTCAGTGTGCGGAGTTTAAAGCGATCAAGTCATATTACAGGAGAAAGGAAATACAGAAATACTGCCGTCGCAGGAAAGACGGCCGGCAAAAATCACCGACTGTTTGAACGTGAACATTAATAGAATATCACCTCCACCTTCAGAGCAATCTGACTATTATAACATTAGCGTTAAGAAAGCTTACTTAAATATCTGCCACAACATAAGTAACCGGATCAGAGTAACATTAAGTACAGTCCGCGGCATATCACTTCATAATGTATCATATTTTCTTATCTGAGTCAGCTGAGCCGTATCTGGCCGTGCAACACTCACAGTGTCACATACTGTATGCAGAAGTATTATTTTAAGCAACTAGGGGTGTAACGGTTCACAAACATTTCGGTTCGGTACGTAAATTATCACAAAACATAAAATATATATATATTTTTTTATATTATTAAACTGTGAATAATGTATTCACTCAAATAAATATAATAAAATAAACATTAAGGTGCAGCATTTCCATGAACTGAAATAATCTGTATTTGTACTGTACTAGTACCTAAGCAGCCAGCTTGACATTAGGACTTGCTTGTCATTGTATTTTCATGTTGTTTAAAGAAAGATGAACTTGTCCACATTGCTTGCTGAAAGGGCAGATCTGCTGGCACTAACAATGTCTCCTGCTGTGGAGAACACCCTCTCTAGGGACAGAGGTAGCACAGCCAGGTAGCGCTTTGCTAACATGGCAGCATAAGGATACTTGGCGTTTGTAATAGCTTTGACTCGGTCTGAACTTTCGGCGAGTGGTGGAGGCTTACATGCACACATCGACTATTTTCATTTCCTCGCTCCTCGGTCTCACCGGAAGTTGATTTGCCTGCGCCATCTTGAGTACCATCCCATGGCTCTTATTTCTGCCGGAGGAGCGAGGAGCGATAATGGAGGAGCTATAACCGAGGAACCACCAGACCATCCTCCGATGAAATCCTCAGATACTCGCCCTGCCCCCTTACTGTGTATCGCTCACTGATTGGACGAGGCAGTGCATGCACTGATCTGATGCTTCTTGACATGAGAGCAGTTTCCCAGCGGAGTGAAGAAAATACATGAAACTCACGAGAGTCACTCCTCAGTTTATACCGTGTTTTGTTTCAATTCATGTTTCATTTAGTTACAAATATGTGATATATCTGAACAACAAAGTGGTCACAAATCATTTTATTCATTTATTGGAAACATTTTCATGATCGCTTTTTCGTTTTACATTTTCATTTATTGTCATTTCCATTCAGTCAGTCATTAAGTGCTATTAAAATGTTAATGTGCTACATATCCACACAAACAAACAAAGTGTGCAATCCAATGAATGTTAATCTAACTGGGTTTTGATAGATAACATATCTATTTTTCTTCTCTCAATTATTTTATTTCTATTGTGCAATCTAATCAATATTAATCAAAAGTTCGCCATTCTTAAAATGTATAAACGAACAATTGTTCGTTTATACATTTTAAAAATGCCGTTTATCTTTTTTGAGAATGAGTTCTTATTTTATTTAATGTATTTGAGTCTACAACAGATGATACAAATGTTTGTGTCAGTAAATGTGTACTAACAGAGGCGGGGGTGTTTGTGGAAATAACGGGGACAGAGCTGCTGTCAGACGATCAGCTGTGCAGCGTCATCACAAACGGACGTGGCTTCACGTGACGCTCCGGAGGAAAGAACGTCCCATTGCTCTTAAAACTCACTTGTAATGTAATTAAAGTCAGATGGTGTTTTAGACGGGGCAGTGATATCATAAACCTGTTAATGTACGCATTCAAACACTTGTTCTGTTACCAGCTGTATTCACCTTGCAGGTGCAGCTCTGTGGCTTTGATCCTGGATCAAGTGTTTAAGTCATGGATGTTTAAAGTTTAACTTCTTCATATGTCTAATATTATAGTTGACTTTTCATTCAGGAAGTATGACGCTGCGCTGTCAGTACGCTTCTCCATGTTTGTGATTGGTCGAATGCTCCAGATACCACCCCTTTCATGTGAACGCGCACCTAACTAGATAGGACACGGCTGGCTTGAGTGAACGAGTTGATAGCCAGCGTCGTAGTACAGTTTAGCGAGAGCGTGTATGTTCTGGATTAGGCCAACCAGGTAACTCAAACATATCCAGGTTAGGTTAGGTTCGTCGTACAGGCCTCTGATCTTTTTGAATTTTCGCTAATGCTTTAATAGAAACAGAAATATCACATTGACATGAGTATTCATAATAATTGAAGTACAAGTACCGCTTCTGTTTTAAGTGCTTTCAGTGCCCACAAACGTAGCATTCAACTAAAGCCAGAGGCAAAAGCGAAATCTAACAATTTAAACATTTCAGCTGCACGCACAGATCTAAATAATAACCTAAACAAACAATGAAGTATGTTTCTGCATGAATGACTTTTGATATTCCGCTGTTTGCAGGAAGGGTCCTGCTGATCCTTTTTAAAGGCGTTTTTTAAATCTGAAAATAAGACATTTATTTGTATAAAAACGTCTTTTAAAAAAACATTTGTTATGACCTTGCGATTTCAAATCTCAAAATAATGAATGACATGTACCCGTCACATACACAACTCTTGTGTTTGTTTGGGTTCAGTTTGGTGTGACGCTGCTCTATCTGATCCTGAGTGAAGGAGAGAGGATGCAAAGCTCTGACTCCAACTGTCAGCTCATGGACGACAATCGATGGTAAGATGTGGAGTTGATGATGTAACCCTTTTTCTCCAACGTGTCCCTGCTCCCCTGCCGTTATGTTTCCTCCTCGTCTTTTCTTCACACTCACAAAGTATGTGTCTCTGTTGTTGCTGCTTGCCATTGATCCAGGACTGAGTTGGTGTTCTCTGTGACGAGGGAGTTGCTCAGCGTCCCCCCCTCATCTCTGTCCCCTCCCCTCTTCACCCCTCCCAACCTGCTCTCCCTCTTCTCGCGCTACGTGGACCGACAGAGGCTGGAGCTGCTACAGGACAAGCTACAGTGAGTTACAGTGTCACCTGGGGGGGCTTTGGTTGGGCAAGCACAAATAAGATGAGCGGAAAGAGCGTGTTTTGGATCTTTTATGTGCAGACAGACAGATCATGACCGAGTAAACGCGTAGATGAATTAGGAGCTACTAAAATACCTTTCCTTTAATTGTTGCTTCAATAACACGAGGTGAACACGTCTGTTCATCAAACTAATGGTTTGTTCTTTGCCTTTCTCAGGATCACTTCTTTGTCCAGGTAGAAGTTACCACAGCAACACAGCCCCCGATGCAGACCTTTCTTTCTCTGTGTGTGTGTGTGTGTGTGTGTGCGTGCGTGCGGCAGTGAATCCATGGTGGATTGTATTTTAATGCAGCAGAGTCTCAAGTCACTTTTTTTGTGTGTGTTTAGTCTCTGGTGTGTAAGTAAATGTGTGTGAGAGAGTGTGAGTGACACAGCGCATGACAGACGGGAGAGTATGGCGACGATAATGAAATCTGCATTTTTAAATATCTTGTTTACGATTATGCCTGTGATGAACCTTCAAATTAAAAAGTATTTCTATTTCTCGTGTTTCGGATCAATCTTATACTGCTGAATGCATCAGGATCCCTCTTCAGACCCTTTAATGATGGAAATGAAAAGTCTTTCAGAATGACTTTATAAGCCTGTTGCAGCCCATTATCCATTGGACACCAATTACGCACATACTCTCCTTTTTCCCCTACATCCGTCTTACAAGCGTTTTCACCACAATATGTCACAGAGAGATAAACTGGGATTCACTCGTAGGATGCGTGTGCGTTCCAATATCGACAAAGTTATTTCAGCCAAAAAGGGCGTGTATACAACACGGTCAAAAGGAAGTGCGCATCAGCCCAGATCATTGACACTGAAATACCCTGTTGTACCATCGTATGTTCATAATAACAAAAACATACAATTGGCTGCATCAAATCAAGATTTATTTATATAGCACATTTAAAAGCGATTTTTGGTCGAGCCAAAGTGCATGTAATAAAAACACTCCAATCACAATAAAAGACAATAATTTACAACGGAAATATAAAAAACAAAAACACAGGGAATAGTCAGGTGTCATACTGCGCTCTGACTAGAAGGCCAGAGAGAAGTCTTTAGTGAGGATTTAAAAACCCCTAGTGTCTGGGCCGACCTCACATGGGAGACTATTCCAGAGCCTAGGGCCAGCTGCTGCGAAGCCACAGAATGTTATTCGCACTCAGCTAGTCTTATAATCCATTTTCAGTAAATAGTCATTGATATTGCTTATAGTTGTCTGATTCTGACAGAAAACAGAAATTACAAAGCTTTCTAAGTGTTAGCACCAAGAGGCTCTGTAACTCTGACAAGAACATACCTACAGAACATGTTTCCAAATCAAATGAAGTCCATGACAATACCATGTATTAAATATGAGTAAGATTATTTGCTTCACATTCTCCATACAAGTAGGCAATGCTAGGTTCATAACAGCTCATTCCATTGAAGTGAATCAATGGCATCAAATAATACAACAACATTCTTAAACACAACCTCCACATAAGGTTGGAGTTCTATTGAAACTAATATAAGGTCTGTCTTCTCCATGAGGAACCTCAAGGTGGCGCTGTTCCAGCTTCATGTCCGGCCTGCTGCCCCCTGGTGGCCTGCAGGCACAGCAGAAATACCTTTTTACATTTGGAGGGAAATGAATGGTTTTAGTGTACTTTATAACAGTGTTCATGTTGAATTACATCTAACACAACCTGGCAATGTGTCCCAGGAGGAAGGGCAAGGAATGAATGTGTGGAACAGCCTGACAGAGCTAGAGGAACATATCCATTCATCCACACTGGTTTCTACTGGATCAACAGGTCAGAGATTTGTTTAATAAGGTCGTGTAGGACTTAATATTTGATGTTAAATTATGTAATCCTTTATTACAAGTTTGTATTGCATCAGCCTGAGGCAATACGCCTACTGTAGATTATATTTTAAATGAGCAGTTTACAGCAGACACTGTTAGCAAGTTGCTGGTGAGCATACAGGTGCATTTATCAAACACATTGCAAGAAGTTTTGTTTGAGGATTTGGTTAAGCTCAAACCAGAACTAAAAGGAGGGTCTAAATTGGACCTATATTTTTTAATGTTTAATATTATGGAAACACACTGTATAGAAGTACAGGGGTAAAATGAGCCATTGTGTTAAATGATGCCCAGAGATCCTGCAATAGTCTTATTGAGTGTAGAAACACCCATTTTCTAGTATAAATAAGAAATAAAGATTGTTTTTCAGAGACTGATGCAAGGTGTGGTTTTACCAATGTAGTGTGTGTGTAAGAATGTGTTGGTTTCAAAATGGCTTTTCAAAAAGCAAACCATGATTATAGGCATGTATCAGCTTCTCCGGCTGACTCATGCCTGCCACACCACCAACAAGCTGAATTCTGGATGAGACCATTTATACACTAGTTACTTACGTTGCTTTCGAATTGACAAAGATAGATTACATTTATTGTGCAGTTATTGTGCGGCGGCCATTGGGTAGTTCAGTGTTTCACCCACTGTTCTGTGAGCCAATGCAAAGTCTGCAGCACAGCTCATCGGCACACAGAGAGAGGTACCACTCAAGGTACAGAAAGGTTATATCGAAATGCAAGAAATACACGAAAACAAGTTATTACATTTCTTCTACATGGGAAACTTGCCAGTTTACGTTCTTGATGAACAACATTTACCATTGTAGGAGCCACAAAGGTTGGCTGTTAGGAGGTGGAGAAGGCAGGTGGTAGGTAAGAAGCTAAAACGTAAACAACGTTTCCACAGAGACCATCTCAAAATGAAAATCTACCAAAAGGGAAGGGCCAACCTCACAGCTTTTGTCTGTCCTACAGAATAACCAATCACCATCAGTTATTTCCACCTTGTTCACTAAGACTTGTTATTGCCTCACCTGTGCAGACCACTTCAATCGCAGTGGAAGAGAACCAGAGCTGCACAGACCCACAGTCCATCAGTGCAGACTCTGATCCATCACAGTCAGAGAAGAATCTGGACACAAGCATGTTGTGGAGAAGATCAATCTGTTTGGTTGAAGCAGCAGAACCACAGCCCAGCTGTCGACACACCAGAGCAGCATGCTTCAGGTCCCAGAGCCTGGACCCTGTGCTCAGCAGCCTCCACTCCTCCTGCAACATCAGCAGTCTGCCAGCACAGGCCTCACTGTCGTCCTCTCTGAGCACTCCATCATCCAGCATGACATCGTAGTCCACTACATGGGATGAGATCATGGTCATGTATACAAGTTGATAGTATAGCATATCCAATAAATTATTATTTTTATATTTATGTATTTTATCATTTATGTTAAAATACTGAAAATTACACAACCAAATTCTCCCACCTTGAAGAATGAGAGAGAGGCTCTGGCCCTCAGCAGAGAAGTTCTGATGGAAAACATAGTTGTGATAAACACAGCTGTAGTTCCCTTGGTGGGCGGGCTCTGCAGCAGCAAACCTGAAGAAGGCAGAGTGATTGACAGCTGGCAGGGTGTAGCTGGTTGGGTTAGAGCCAGTGAGCATGAGGCTGAAGGAACCTCCGGGGTACTGTGGCTCCACGGAGCAGTTGAGAGAGAAGCTGCGGCCCTTGAAGAGCAGCACATCCCGCTCCTGGTCGTCATAGTAACCCCTCGTAGAAATAACAGGCCTGTTGGGAGGAAGCAGGATGTCTGCAGGCAAAGACAAAAACTGGAGATATGACAAAAATAAAAAATAATGATGAAAAGTCAACAGCCATTCAAAGTAATTTTGGTAAGAACAGTGTATCAGATACACGATGTTGTTTATACTGTACTGTTGTAGTTGTTGTTTTTACAGTGCTTCAAGTGCCTAAGCCAGGTCCTTGGCAGGAAAAACATTTTTAATCAATGATTTTATCACTGAGCACAATCTCGTTTTTATGTTTTTAACAGAAACTTGGATTGAACAAAATAACAGTGTAGCTGTTCTTATCGAATCAACACCTCCCAACTTTAGTTTTATGAGTCAGGAAAGAATGCATAAGAAAGGGGGTGGAGTTGCTATTCTGTTCAATGATTCCCTTCAATGCAGGAAGACATCGTATGGAAACTTTGATTCTTTTGAATATGTGGCCGTTCAGCTGAAATGCTCCTCTCGAGCTCTGTTCCTAAATATCTATAGACCACCCAAATACTGTGCAAGCTTTGTTGATGACTTTACTGAACTGCTGTCTATAGTGTGTATTGACTTTGACCGTCTAGTCATTGTTGGTGATTTTAACATCCATGTTGACAACCCCCAGGACAGAGGGGCTAAAGAACTGTTTTGTGTTCTTGATAGCTATGGACTGACTCAGCATGTGACGGAGCCCACGCACAATAAGGGGCACACTCTGGACTTAATTATCTCAAAGTTCACACAAATGTTCAAAAAGAGGTAACCACAAAGCGATGTTTAACTGAAAATACTAGGGAAATGTTTACTCAGAATGTTTCTTCCACACTTGCCCCTGCTAACATCTCAGTAAATGAGCTAGTAGATCATTTTAAATCAAAAAATGTAAAATGTTATAGATGCCATTGCTCCCACCAAGCTAAAGGAAGTGTCTGGCAAGAAAATATCTCCATGGAGAAAGGCCATGAGCGTGAAAACAGAAAAAAGAGAGTGTCGAAAAGCTGAACGCAGGTGGCTCCAGGTTCATTTTGAAATCTATAAAGAGAGACTTGGCTTTTATAATTTGGAATTAAAAATGCAGTCTTTCTTCTCTGACATCATTACCAAAAACAATAATAATAATAATAATGAGTTTCATTTGTAACGCACTTCATAGCAGGGAGCATGGAACAATATAAAGCAGCACACAACTCACGTGCCTTGTTTGCTACCGTCGACAGACTAACTAACCCCCCAGTGTCAGTAGCCTCTGAATTTCTATCCACCAGGGCGTGCAATGAATGTGCCTTCTTCACTGACAAAATTCAGAACATCAGACAAGCAGTCAGTGCCTCTGCATCAGGAACAGCAAATGTGTTGTCTCTGTGTCCACTTAACATCAATTCAAACACCATGACACAATTCCATCAGATTAATGATAAAAACCTAGAGGACATTATTCAACTTCTGAAATCCTCCTCCTGCTGCCTTGATATTATTCCAACAAGCTATTATTTTTAAATGTCATTGCATGATCTACTTCATATAGTAAACAAGTTACTTGTTTACTATACGATTACACCTGAGTGAAGAAACGTAGTCTCTTCACTCAGGTGTTTTTCCACAGGCCCTGAAAACTGCAGTCATTAAACCGCTCTTAAAAAAGCATAATCTAGACGCTTGAGTAATGAACAATTACAGGCCCATATCAAACCTCCCATTTCTAGGTAAAATCATTGAAAAAGTAGTTTTTCAACAGTTGAGTAATTTCTTGCATTTAAATAACTGTTTTGATGTGTTCCAGTCAGGCTTTCGTCCAAACCACAGCACTGAGACTGCTCTTGTAAAGGTCTTCAATGACATCCACTTAAACACAGACAGTGGCAGAACTTCAGTGTTAGTATTATTAGATCTCAGTGCTGCGTTTGACACTGTTGACCACAACATATTACTAGACCGACTGGAAAACTGGGTGGGACTTTCGGCAACAGTTCTAAATTGGTTTGAATCCTACTGGAAAAACGTTGTCTCTAGGTAAATACACATCTGAGTTGACAAATATGACATGTGGGGTTCCTTGTCCATGCTTTTATCTTCAGTAGACTCGACTATGTTGTTGACAGATCTGCTGGTTTGATGGAAAGGATGTTTGTCTCGATAATGTCTTATCAGACATGTGAAACCAGACAGAACATCTTGAACTCTTGACCTATGCACATTATGCATCTTAGTTTTTGACACCTTGCAAGCAAAAGCAAAGCATAAAAGTTTCAACCACAATTCTAAGAAGGCGTTTGTGGTTTTTGACACCTTGACAACGGTTACAACGGTTGAGGACAACAATGAGTCAGGATGCAGGCGGACTACGCAAAGATTTGAACCAACTTCCTGGGCCAGCGAATCTTAGAGACAAGCTGTCCTTATTGTCTCTGTTAATACATTAAGTCTCCGTCAATGTCATGTTTAGAATCAAGTTTTTTCTTTAAACATTTAATTTCAAATATGCAAACTTTATACTTTAATTTATTAACAATATGTTTGCTTTCATGAAAAATGTTCATATCCCCTCTTGTTAAAATTGCATATTATTACTATAAGTCTTTATTTGTTTTAATTTTAGCTTTACATTTGTAATTGTTCATTAAGTAAAAGTTGAACATATGTGACCTCCTTCTCCCTCAAAGATAGAAAAGGGGAAAGCACCTGATGCAGAGAGGGAGGAGGCAAGAGACTATAAAAGATGATGTGTAAAGAGAAACGGGGGCTATTGAGAGCTTGAGGACTTTTTGAGGCTAGATTTTGGGTCTTGGCTCTTTTAGACCGCTCTAGGGGATTCACTTGTGAACCTGTTAATTTTGTACTTTGACCTTGTGTCTTTGTAAAACTTTTGTATCTTTCTTTTGATAATTTTTTTATTCTTGTAAATCCTCTATTTTTGTTAAAACCTTGATAAAAACCGGTTTGTACTTTTCGACCCTCCCTGAAGAACCAGCACCTTACTGTGGTAGAGAGGTTTGTGTGCCCTGATGCTCTGCAGGTCTCCCTTGAAAAATAGATCATTGATCTCAATGGGATTTTACCTGGATAAATAAAGGTTTTGAATTGAATTGAATGAATGAATGAACGAATGGCTGTGTTGTCTGGAACCTTGTGTTCCTGGTAGGGTCTCCCATGGCAAATTGGTCTCAGGCAAGGGGCCAGACTAAGATTAGTTCAAAAGACCTAATGAAAGACGACACAGGAAGTGAGGATACCCGGCCCGGAGGAAGCCCGGAGTCCCCTTCTGGAGCCAGGCCCAGAAGGAGGACTCGTCGGCGAGCGTCTTGTGGCCGGGCTTGCCACGGAGCCCGGCCGGGCACAGCCCGAAAAGGCAACGTGGGCAACACCTCCGCTTCTCCGTCCCGCGGGCCCACCACCTACGGGAAACAGCGATGGGGTCGGGTGTGCTGCCAGAAGGGTGGCAGTGAAAGCAGAGGGTCTCGACGGACCAGACCCGGGCAACAGAAGCTGGCTTTGGGGACGTGGAATGTCACCTCTCTGGGGGATAAGGAGCCGGAGCTTGTGCGGGAGGTGGAGCGTTACCAGTTGGATCTGGTTGGGCTCACCTCTACGCACAGCGTCGGCTCTGGAACCTTACTTCTGGATAGGGGTTGGACTCTATTCTTCTCCGGAGTTGCTCAAGGTGTGAGGCGCCGGGCGGGTGTGGGGATACTCACAAGTCCCCGGTTGGGTGCTTCGTTGTTGGAGTTTACCCCAGTGGACGAGAGGGTCGCCTCCCTACGCCTGCGGGTTATGGGGGGGAAAACTCTGACTGTTGTGTGTGCTTATGCACCAAACAGCAGTTCAGAGTATACAGCCTTCTTGGAGACCCTGGAAAGAGTCCTGTATGGGGCTCCTGAAGGGGACTCTTTAATCTTGCTGGGAGACTTCAACGCACATGTGGGCAATGATGCAGACACTTGGAGGGGCGTGATTTGGAGGAACGGCCCCCCTGATCTGAACCGGAGTGGTGGTTTGTTACTGGACTTCTGTGCTAGTCATGGATTGGCCATAACAAACACCATGTTCGAACATAAGGATGCTCATAAGTGTACGTGGTACCAGAGCACCCTAGGCAGAAGGTCCATGATCGATTTCGTTATCGTATCATCGGACCTGAGGCCATATGTTTTGGACACTCGGGTAAAGAGAAGGGCGGAGTTGTCAACTGATCACCATCTGGTGGTGAGTTGGGTCGAGTGGCGGGGGAAGCTTCTGGATGGACCTGGTAAGCCCAAACGTGTAGTTCGGGTGAACTGGGAACGTTTGGAGGAGGCCCAAGTTCAGGAGGCCTTCAACTTACACCTCCGGCAGAGCTTTTCGGGCATTCCTGTGGAGGTTGGGGACATTGAACCAGAGTGGTCGGTGTTCAAAGCCTCTATTGCCGAAGCCGCTGCGGAGAGCTGTGGTCTCAAGGTCTTAGGTGCCTCAAGGGGCGGTAACCCTCGAACCTCCTGGTGGACACCGGTGGTCAGGGAAGCCGTCCGACTGAAGAAGGAGGCCTTCGGGGATTTGTTATCCCGGGGGACTCCCGAGGCAGTTGCAAGGTACCGACGGGCCCGAAGGGCAGCAGCCTCAGCCGTGGCCGAGGCAAAGCAGCAGGTGTGGGATAAGTTCGGAGAAGACATGGAAAAGGACTTTCGGGTGGCACCAAAGTTGTTCTGGAAAACTGTCCGACACCTCAGGAGGGGGAAGCAGGGAACCATCCAAGCTGTGTACAGTAAGGATGGGACGTTGTTGACCTCAACTGATGGAGTGTTAGGGCGTTGGAAGGAACACTTTGAGGAACTCCCGAACCCGTCAACTCCGCTCTCTATGGTAGAGGCAGAGCTGGAGTATGACGGGGGATCAACACCAATCTCCCGGGGGGAGGTCACTGAGGTCGTCAAACAACTCCACAGTGGCAAAGCCGGATAGATGAGATCCGCCCAGAAATGTTGAAGGCTCTGGGTGTTGAGGGACTGTCATGGTTGACACGTCTCATCAACGTTGCGTGGAAGTCGGAAACAGTACCGAAGGATTGGCAGACCGGGTTGGTGGTTCCCCTTTTCAAAATGGGGGATCAGAGGGTGTGTGCCAATTACAGAGGCACTCTAAGGTACTCGAGGGTCAGGCCGATTGTCGAACCTCATATTGAGGAGGAACAATGCGGATTCCGTCCTTGTCGTGGACCGACGGATCAGCTTTTTACTCTCGCAAGGATCCTGGAGGGGGCCTGGGAGTACGCTTATCCGGTCTAGCAGTTTTGTAGACTTGGAGAAGGCATATGACCGGGTTCCCAGGGAGTTACTGTGGGAGGTGCTGCGGGAGTATGGGGTGAGGGGGTCTCTTCTCAGGGTCATCCAATCTCTGTACTCCCAAAGCGAGAGCTGTGTCCGGGTCCTCTGCCGTAAGTCGGACCCATTTCCGGTGAGGGTTGGCCTCCGCCAGGGCTGCGCTTTGTCCCCAATCCTGTTTGTAATATACATGGATCGGATTTCGAGGCGTAGTCATGGTGGAGGGGGTCTGCAGTTCGGTGGACTAAGGATTGCACCACTGCTTTTTGCAGATGATGTGGTTCTAATGGCTTCATCGGTCTGCAACCTTCAACTGGATCGGTTCGCAACCGAGTGTGAAGCGGCTGGGATGAGGATCAGCACCTCCAAATCTGAGGCCATGGTTCTCAGCAGGAAACCAATGGACTGTCCACTCCAAGTAGGGAATGAGTCCTTACACCAAGTGAAGGAGTTCAAGTATCTCAGGGTCTTGTTCTCGAGTGAGGGAACAATGGAGCGTGAGATGGGCCAGAGAATCGGAGCAGCGGGAGCGGTACTGCAGTCGCTTTACCGCACCGTTGTGACGAAAAGGGAGCTGAGCCAGAAGGCAAAGCTCTCTGTCTACCGGGCCATTTTCGTTCCTACCCTCACCTATGGTCATGAAGGATGGGTCATGACCGAAAGAACGAGATTGCGGATACAAGCGGCCGAGATGGGTTTTCTCCGCAGGGTGGCTGATGTCTCCCTTAGGGATAAGGTGAGAAGTTCGGTCATCAGGGAGGGACTCGGAGTTGAACCGCTCCTCCTTTGCGTCTAAAGGAGCCAGTTGAGGTGGTTCGGGCACCTAGTAAGGATGCCACCTGGGCGCCTCCCTAGGGAGGTGTTCCAGGCACGTCCAGCTGGGAAGAGACCAAGGGGTAGACCTAGGACCAGGTGGAGGGATTATATCTCTTCGCTGGCCTGGGAGTGCCTTGGGATCCCCCAGTCAGAGCTGGTTGATGTGGCCAGGGAAAAGAACGTTTGGGGCTCTCTGCTGGAACTGCTACCCCCGCGACCCGACCACGGATAAGCGGGAGAAGATGGATGGATGGACATTTCGACCCAATTCCTGGTCTCTCTCGTGGTCTCTGAAGGTATCTGCTTGGTCTTAGAGTGAGGTAAGAACACCCTCCCCTGGAAAAGGCTGACATTTGTTGATCATTTGGATTTAAATTGTTTAAGGGGAATAGAAACCCTGCTAAGGTTAAACTATAGTTTCACATTGGTTACTGTGGTTGATGTGGTTTTGATTGATGTTTAAATATGACATATGCTCTGGTGATGTCACTGCTGTGATATGACAGCAGGTTTGACTCTGGCTGTGTTTGATATTACAATTGCATTGTTTTGATTGGTAGAACTGGGGATCAATATTGGGGGTTAGGGATTGTGGGTCCTGAAGCTGCCCTAATTACCAGGGGGTCTCCCAACGACAGGGGGATTCTCCTCCAGGGGCAGTTTAGATGCTCTGGGGTTCTACCAGCCCACCAACACCTACTACACTACACACTCCGTTTTGCTATCCTAGCGGTCGGGAACCGACGCTTTAGTGCCTGAAATAAGTGATACGACGGGCAGCTGGTGTTAGAGGCCACGCTGTAAGCGCCCCCTAAGCAGATTAAGGTGATCTTGCGTGTAGATTCTGGGGGGTTTAGTCCTAAAAAGATTGGACGGCCATTTTCCGGAGCCTTATCAGCACCGGAGCTCGGTATCGGAGACGGCCAAGATATTAACGTTGGTTGTATCGAAGTTAGATTCCTTTTCACTGTAATGGTGTCTTCACAGGTCTCACTAAAAAATCTATTAGAAAGCTGCAGCTGATTCAGAACGCCGCTGCTCGAGTCCTCACTAACACTAAGAAAGTGGATCACATCAGTCCTTTTCTGAAGTCTTTACACTGGCTTCCTGTGTGTCAAAGAATAGATTTCAAAATACTGCTGCTGGTTTATAAAGCTTTGAATGGTTTAGGCCCAAAATACATTTCTGACCTCCTGCTAAATGATGAACCATCCAGATCTCTCAGGTCTTCAGGGACTGGTCAGCTTTCTGTCCCCAGAGTCAGAACTAAACATGGTAAAGCAGCGTTTAGTTATTATGCTCCAAATATCTGGAACAAACTCCCAGAAACCTGCAGGTCCGCTGCAACTCTGACTACTTTTAAATCCAGGCTGAAGACTTTTCTTTTTGTCGCTGCTTTTAATTGAACTATTCACATCTTAAACTGCACTGTAAATGTTATCCATGTATTTTTTCTTTTAATGTTTATTTTATTAGCTTTTCTTTTGAACTGCCAGTTTATAATATGTTTCTGCAGCACTATTTCTCAATGCTCTTAATGTCTTTCATTTTTGTGAAGCACTTTGAATTGCCTTGTGTTGAACGGTGCTATATAAATAAACTTGCCTTGCCACAGTCTGCAAGGAATGCTTCACAACTAATTCTTGACCACGTTAGAGTGTTAACATGTAGCGTATTACTGTGTTACAAGTTAGCGTATTATGTTAATATAGATGTGATGTTTCACTGAACCGTCATCTGTTGGTGTCAGACCGGGGTTAACCTCCACCTCGCCCCTGGGCTGAAAGTGAGACTCACTTCGGCCATTTCTTACAAACCTGGCTATCATTATTATAAACATATAAACAGTGGTATGATTAATTAAAGCACTGCTTGCTTGCTTGCTTGTATCTTCTTCACTGTTTAGTTCAATACCATTTTTTTTATAGTGTAACTGATTTATTTAATTAACCTGTCTTCTTCTGATATTCATGTGCAATACCAATTTTAAAATAGGTGAAGCTTTCACTAGAACAGTTACAAGAAGTAAAGGCACACAGGCACAGAGGGCAGCTCAGGGGTCCTTTAGGTGAAACGCAAAAGAGTTAAAGGAATCACTCTTTAGACCGTGCTTTTGTATGTCGCAGAATGAATGACGGAAGTAAAAGGATGTTATCTTAAATCGGGAAGTCTTGTTTATTTCAAAGTGTGCAACAATGGTATTAATTCAAGTTAATGTAAAATTATGATGTAGCTAGCTGTCACAACAGCTCCATACATGTAGAACAGCTATTTTATGATAAAAGCATTAATATCAGTTGCAATTTCATCAAATATGAATCTGTGGAAGGTTGTCTAGAGCTGAAACTGCCATTCTCACCTGAGCAGACCACTTGAGTGGAGCCTGAAGAGGAGAGCCACTTCCTCACGGAGCCACAGTCCATCAGTGCCCCTTCAGAGCCATCACAGTCGGAGTAGAAGCGCCATGCGGGCCGGGCGGCACCAGGCAGCTGGACTCTGCTGCTGGAGACTGGGGTGCCGCAGCCCAGCTGTGTGCACACCACAGCAGCCTCCCGCAGGCTCCAGGAATGCAGGAAGCTCACAGCTCTCCACTCCTCCTGGTGCTGCACCTCCAGTGCTCCAGCGCAGCGGCTCTGCATGTTCACCAGCCTCACATCCTCCAGATCTGAAAGTCACCAGCTGGGTACAATTAATCAAACCTGGGCCAGGTCGAGAATACTGTGGAAGCCCATTTCCGCCAGAGAAGAAACACATTTACACTTACTTATCTCATAATTATGACTTACCTGTCTCATTATGACTTAGGCTACTTATCTCATAATTATGACTTACTTATCTCATTATTATGGCATACTGTCTAAAACATAATAAGACATTTTAAAATGAAGCTCAGCGCAAGTTCTTTCAGGAAGACTGGGCCGTTTCTCAATCGCAAGTAAAACTGCTGCAGAGCAACTATTTCAAGTATACCACGTCATCGAGTGGCGCCGAAGGACTGTTTAAATCTATGGTTTAAATGCATGTTAAGTCATTATGGTCTAGCTGCAGCCGCAGCAAGACCGTACACGACACGCCCCCTACACGACGGTACACGACACGCCCCCTACATGACACGCCCACCTGACACGACTCTACGGTGGCTGAGAGACGTTGATACCGGACATGGCAGATTACAAACGAATTACAAATGTTATTGTAGCATTTTAAGAAACTATTAGGGAAATTAATTAATAACCTAGACCAGTGATTCTCAAACTTTTTTCAATAATGTACCCCCTTTGAAAAAAAAAGTTCAGCCACGTACCCCCTGATCAGCGCAAACACAATTTGTTAAGGAAGAAATGCCTATATAAAGAGGTACAGTACAGTGCTGCACCATCAGTGTCTGATTTATTAAAACAACAACATTGTAACTGAGAAACACTTAAATGCTACATTTCAAATGTTTACAATCCATCACTAAATTCATGGCAAACCCAGTTTAACATCATGCAATAACACTGAGACGACATTAGTTGCATTTAACTGATCTTTTTAATAAGTTGTACAATGTAGAGAAACATGTGCTTGTGCTTCACTGAGGATCTTTGTCATTCTGACAGGGAGGCAAACTGCAGTTATTACACTTCGCGTTTTGAAACATGTGTAACTCTGTTCATATAAAACCCACACTGCTCAAACTTCGTTACTCTTCCTAAAATTGGTATATTTAATTATGTTGGGGCTATGGGAATGAAGAGAAAAAAATATGAGCATTTTATGAGCATGGGATTTTGACCCCTCATATAAACATATGCATAATGCTGCGCTATACTTTGCAGCCACAAGCCGTTGCCAAGCAACGCTTATTGTTTAGGTGTCCTTTGATAAGCAGGCAGTCATATCATTAGCTAGAACTAGCTGGATCTGATAGATTTGGACATAAACGCGAGTGAAGTCTCACCGGACGCGCGAGAGGGATAAGATCAGCTGCTGCTGACGGAGAGCACGCAGCTCTGCATGATCACAGCTCCGCCGCTGTGAGAGACCGTTGAGTGGAGCAAAATTAAATACACTAAGAGTTAGACCTAACACACTTAGCTAGTTTATCTACTAGCTATACTAGTTATACATATATTTATTCTTTACTGTCGGGTCACTTATTACAGGTTCAGCGAGCTGCACAAGACTGACAGGCTGTCAGGAGAGGGAGAGGAAAAGAGAGCACCCCGTTTATTTTCCCATTTTATTATCCAGAATTACTGTAAACCTTTGAATAAAGTAGTTCATCTACTATTAGTAGTTTGTTTGAATGCATTACTTATGTTGTTTTTTCATTAACATAAAATAAATCTCACATACCCCCTGCAGTACTCCAACGTACCCCTAGGGGTCTGTGTACCCCCATTTGAGAACCACTGACCTAGACTATCCGTTTGATAGAGGGCTTATATAACAATGGGTACCATACGTAACCCCTCGTTATCTCTAACTCTCCACTACAGGCTGGCTTCCGAGGGTGGTCTATATAAAGGGCAGGTGGTGATTATGTGTTCGGCAGTCTGTTCAGGGTCACCGCACTCGCATGCAGCACTGTCTGCCAGGCCCCACTTCTTCATCGATGTTTTGAAGCGACCGACCCCAGTTCGTAGACGGTTTAGTGTGCTCCATTGCCGGTGTGGTAGGTCGGCGCCATCTCCTGGGTCCCAGATGTAGCGATGCATGCGGGAGGGCCCGGCTATCTCCCACTCCTGCTTCCAAGCAACCATGCATCTCTGGAGAGGTCCTCAGAGGTGGAATTGAGCATCTCTTGTGCTGCCTTGTTTGACTTGAGCCTACTTAGAGGCGATGCTCTCATTGTCGTGTTATGCAGGATGTGCCAGTCATGCTTTTGAGCTTTCCTGGCGAGGGTGGCAGCCTCCCGTCGGAGGCCGGCCGGCGCGAAAACTGGCAAGAGGGACTCAGGGGTAGGCTTCAGGCATCCAGTTATAATCCGGAGGGCGTTGTTGATGACCACTTCAACCTTACTTGCATGAGGGCTTCTGCTCCAGGCTGGGGCGCAGTATTCCGCTGCAGAGAAGACCAGGGCTTGAGTTGATATTCGCAGCGTCTTAGCAGAGGCTCCCCAGGTTGTTCCAGCGAGGCGGCGGTTCAGCGCGACCCTTGATGTTACCTTGGCCTTGACTTCTTCAAGGTGTTGTTTGAAGGACAGTGTCCGATCCAGACGCACACCGAGGTACTTCGGGGCTTGCTGGACCTCCAGACGTTTATTGTTGACACGCACCTCAAGTTCCCTCCTAGCTTCTCTGGTGCTAAGATGGTATGCCGCTGCTACTGTCTTACCGATGTTGAGCTGTAGACGCCACCTTTGAAAGTATGCTACCAGGGTGCCCAGGTCGTCGTTAAGGCCATCTTCCATGGTTGTCTCAGCATGATGGCTAGATTGTCTGCATAGCCGTACTTTCTGGATGATGTGTCAGGTACAGTGGCGGCGCCAGGGTATGGCTGGGGTAGGCTACACTACAGCCATACCAAGAAATGGCTTAGCCCTACCTTAGCCCGACCATGAAAAAGTATGTTAAAGTAAGCATGTTGAGAACACAGATTGCGAAAATCTACGGGTCGTGTCCACAACACACAAACTGATCCTGCTGTAACAACAAGTGCACGTTACTGACGCAATATGGTTGAGACCATTCGGGCTTATGCGAGAGGGGTGCAAGGAATAGTCTAAGTAACACTAAAGGTGTGGAAATTCTCTGGCGTTATAATATCAGCGCGGCCGCGGTCAGATCAAAATGCCTCCGAATGCAATTTGAATAGACCTACAGCCAATCAGAGCAACGAAACGTTGGGTCTGCTGCGTCATGCATTACTGATACGTCGATACGTCACGTTCACAGTGAAAAGTCCCCAAACTCGCGCCGAGTAAATTGCAGACAGACAGCAGAACTTCTAGGATTAATTGTATATTTCGGATGGATAGATTTGTTCTTAAACGCCCTCGCATTGAGGTACAAGTCGAACAGGTGCCAGAGTCACACGACCCACCTGAAGAGTGAATAGTCAGTTTTGAATATATTTTGTAATAATGGGTCATTTGAAAAAGTGTTTTGTATGACAATAGAGACACAGGCCACCTGTTGTGTGCTGTGTCAGTCTCTCTCTGTTTACCTGTGTCTGTGTGTCCTCTCTCTCTGTATCTCTCTCTCTCTCTCTCTCTCTCTCTCTCTCTCTCTCTCTGTAGTCTCTCTCTCTCTCTCTCTCTCTCTCTCTCTCTCTCTCTCCGTGTCAATTCTATATGCCAACTTTTCTTGTTTCTGCCGCTGCGTAGCATGTTGTAACAACGTGGAATTAGCAGAATAGGCTATTGTATTGTTTAACTCACACCTGTTGCTCTCGATGTAATTTAGCTGATAAAAGGAGACTAATAAAAGCTAATAAAAGCCTCACGCGTGGCGTTTCACTGTCAAGGGGTGCGATATAGCATGTATGTAATTACATTACAAATACTGACTTGAGCCCCACCACTGTGGGTTAGCCCTACCATAGATTACCCAACAAAAATACTCTGGCGCCGCCACTGGTCAGGTATGTCGTGTACATATATGTTGAACAGCATCGGCAAGAGAACCGACCCCTGCGGAACACCGTTCCTCAGTCTTCTGAGCCTGGTCTGGTCTGGAGGACAAAGCTGCGGTTGGTAAGCGTCTCCATGATGAACTTAACCATATGCCGGTCTGGTATTGTCCTCAACAGCTTCAGGTGGAGTCCACGGTGCCAGACGGTGTCATATGCGGCAGTCATATGCGGTATGCCAGCTTTCTCATTGTCCTGGAAGCTGTCTTCGATGTCCTGAAAGAGTAGCGTTACCTGGTCTACTGTTGACCTTCCACAACGAAAACCAGCTTGTTCCCGTGGAAGCTGTGAGTCCACCACAGGCTCGATGCGGCTATGGATCATCCTCTCCAAGATCTTGAATGGGACACAGAGCAGCGAGATGGGTCTGTATGTCTTGGGGTCTTCCGCAGGTTTATTTGGCTTCGGCAGAGCTATGACGGAGGCGCGGCGCCAGATCTTTGGGAGCTTTGACCTCCGGTAGCACGACGAGAAGAATGCACAGAACCAGCCAGATGTTGTTGTGCTCTAGTGGGTGACGAACTCCGGGTGGATGTTGTTGTGGCCCGGAGATTTGCCCGGCTTTAGCTTACTTATGGCCTCACTAAGTTCATCTGCTGTCAAGTCTCCCGAGAGGTTGGAATCAACACTGTCCGCTCCCAAGATGGAAGACACCTCACACGATGTCAGTCGGGTGAAGTGCATGTGTCAATAAATGTTCTTTCAACAAAAAATGAAGTCTCTCCTGATTGAACTGAACTTTAATCCAAATAATGAGATAGTAATAACAAGTCAAAAATAATGACAAAGTAAGTCATAATAATTAGATTTTAAGTCTAAATAAGGAGATAGTAAGCCATATCACTGAGATAAATAAGTCAGAAAATTAGAAAGTAAGTCATAATTATGACTAGCGGGATACACTTTTTTCTTTCCTGTGGCAGAATTTGGCTTCCATAGAATACAGAGAGAGCAAGAAAGTCAAAAATGAAAGCTGCTTTGGCTTTGTTCTGCTTTGGCCCCAGTGCTAACTATACTTTTAGGTTAGAGCAAAGACAGTTAAATAAATGTAGCCAGAAAATGGCTTGTTACTGTAAATATTTTTACAAAGGAAGAGTGTATGTATGTATACGAGTGAAACCATCCCTCTGTTATATTTGACCTATGACGAAATATGAACTGTGTGAGTCATTGCTTTGTCATTTGTAATCTTTGCTTTAATTTAATTTCGGTGGCTTTGACATCACATGCCATGAAGTCGCTGGAGAGGCTGGTCCTTAAACACCTCCGTACAGTGGTCGCACCATCACTAGACCCCCTGCAGTTTGCATATCAGCCTCGTATTGGAGTGGGGGACGCCATCATCTTCCTGCTGCACAGAGTACACACACACATTGAGAAGGCAGGCAGCACTGTGAGAGTCATGTTTTTTGACTTTTCCAGTGCTTTCAATACCATCAGACCTGCCCTGCTCAGCAGTAAGCTACTGGACATGCAGGTGGATGCTCCACTGGTGAGCTGGATAACCAACTATCTCACAGCTCGGCCACAGTACGTGAAGCTGCAGAATAACACCTCTGACATTATATTGAGCAGCACGGGCGCTCCACAGGGCACGGTCCTCTCTCCCTTCCTGTTCACAGTCTATACATCAGACTTCAGACACTGCTCACAGTCCTGCCATCTGCAGAAGTTCTCTGATGAATCTGCCATTGTGGGCTGTATCATCAGAGATCAGGAAGCTGAGTACAGGAGTGTTGTGGACAGTTTTGTGGAGTGGTGCGGTCAGAACCATCTGCAGCTCAACGTCACAAAAACTAAGGAGCTAGTGGTTGACTTCAGGAAGTGGAGTACCGCCCCAAGCCCAGTTACCATCGTGGGCATGGATGTGGACATTGTGGACAGCTACTTGGGTGTCCACATAGACAATACACTGGACTGGAGTAAAAACACTGAGGCCCTATATAAGAAAGGCCAGAGTCGCCTGTATTTCCTCAGGAGACTCGGGTCCTTTAACGTCTGCAGCACTATGTTGCAGATGTTTTATGACTTGGTGGTCTCCAGTGTGATCTTCTTTGCTGTAGTGTGTTGTGGCAGCGGGGTGAAGACAGCGGATGCCAACAGACTCAACAAGCTCATCAGGAGAGCAGGCTCTGTCCTGGGAGTGGATCAGGAGTTGTTGGCAGTGGTGTCGGAGGGGAGAATGCTGAGGAAACTTCTCAGCATTCTGGACAACGGGTCTCACCCCCTGCATGCCACACTGGTTTCCTACGGGAGCACTTTCAGCCACAGACTGAGATCACCGATAACCACCACACAGCGCCACAGGAGGTCTTTCCTCCCAGTGGCAATCAAACTCTTTAACTCTTCACCCCTAAGTAAAGGGAACTGAGAACTTCCACACCAACACTATGTGCATATTTACAGTGGGGCAAAAAAGTATTTAGTCAGCCACCAATTGTGCAAGTTCTTCCACTTAAAAAGATGAGAGAGGCCTGTCATTTTCATCCTAGGTACACTTCAACTATGAGAGACAGAATGGGGGAAATAATCCAGGAAATCACATTGTAGGATTTTTAATGAATTAATTGGTAAATTCCTCGGTAAAATAAGCATTTGATCACCTACAAACAAACAAGATTTCTGGCTCTCACAGACCTGTAATTTCTTCTTTAAGATCCTCCTCTGTCCTCCACTCGTTAACTGTATTAATGGCACCTGTTTGAACTCGTTATCAGTATTAAAGACACCTGTCCACAACCTCAAACAGTCACACTCCAAACTCCACTATGGCCAAGACCAAAGAGCTGTCAAAGGACACCAGAAACAAAATTGTAGACCTGCACCAGGCTGGGAAGACTGAATCTGCAATAAGCAGCTTGGTGTGAAGAAATCAACTGTGGGAGCAATTATTAGAAAATGGAAGACATAAAAGACCACTGATAATCTCCCTCGATCTGGGGCTCCATGCAAGATCTCACCCCGTGGGGTCAAAATGATCACAAGAACGGTGAGCAAAAATCCCAGAACCACACGGGGGGACCTAGTCAATGACCTGCAGAGAGCTGGGACCAAAGTAACAAAGGCTACCATCAGTAACACACTACGCTCGCCAGGGACTCAAATCCTGCAGTGCCAGACGTGTCCCCCTGCTTAAGCCAGTACATGTCCAGGCCCGTCTGAAGTTTGCTAGAGAGCATTTAGATGATCCAGAAGAGGATTGGGAGAATGTCATATGGTCAGATGAAACCAAAATAGAACTTTTTGGTAAAAACTCAACTAGACGTGTTTGGAGGAGAAAGAATGCTGAGTTGCATCCAAAGAACACCATACCTACTGTGAAACATGGGGGTGGAAACCTCATGCTTTGGGGCTGTTTTTCTGCAAAGGGACCAGGACGACTGATCCGTGTAAAGCAGGGGTGTCAAACTCAATTTCATCGCGGGCCACATTCGCATAAAGGTTGCACTCAAAGGGCCGGTTGTAACTATATAAAATAAATATATAATATATATATAAAATAATGTATTATATTACATTATTGCCTCTGAATTGGATTATTATCAGATAGGATAATAACTTAGTAATTAACTACGTCTGAAAGCAGAAGTCCAGGGCAAATAATTGCAAGTCTCTTCAGTGCGCATGTCACAAAACGAGATGCATTGTGGGACATGTAGTTTATGGGCATATTATAAACGTATTATCAACGTATTATATTATTTGCAAGCTCTTGCGGGCCACATAAAATGAAGTCGCGGGCCGGATTTGGCCCCCGGGCCTTGAGTTTGAGACCCCTGGTGTAAAGGAAAGAATGAATGGGGCCATGTATCGTGAGATTTTGAGTGACAACCTCCTTCCATCAGCAAGGGCATTGAAGATGAAACGTGGCTGGGTCTTTCAGCATGACAATGATCCCAAACACACCGCCCGGGCAACGAAGGAGTGGCCTAGCCAGTCTCCAGATCTCAACCCCATAGAAAATCTTTGGAGGGAGTTGAAAGTCCGTGTTGCCCAGCGACAGCCCCAAAACATCACTGCTCTAGAGGAGATCTGCATGGAGGAATGGGCCAAAATACCAGCAACAGTGTGTGAAAACCTTGTGAAGACTTACAGAAAACGTTTGACCTCTGTCATTGCCAACAAAGGGTATATTGTATATTGTCAAGCGTCTTTGAGTTGTGAAAAGCGCTATATAAATAAAATGCATCATCATCATCATCATCATCATCATCATCATCATCATCATCATCATCATCATCATCATCATCATCATATAACAAAGTATTGAGATGAACTTTTGTTATTGACCAAATACTTATTTTCCACCATAATTTGCAAATTAATTCTTTAAAAATCAGACAATTCATGTTGTCTGTAGATATTTAATTGCTCTTTTTGCTGCACTTTTAGTGTACAGTTTTGCTGTTGTGCTGTTTATTGTATTTTGTTGCTCTGGCACGACAATTTCCTTCGGGATAAATAAAGTCTTATCTTATCTTATCTAATTCATCTGTAAATATATTACTGATTGGATTTTTGTTTTTATTTTGTTTTTATTTGTAACTAATATTTGTATTTCAGCTGTTTCTTTTGTTCTTTGTTGTGATTTACCTATGCTATATCTACAAATATGAGTTTATATTCTGAACAAAGGGCTTCTGTTAATAAATAAAAAGCATTAAAACAAAGCTACAGACAAGGTGTTGACCGTGGAATAATTTCTGCTACATGGAGACGATCAGGCTTACCTTTTACAGTGAGGTGCATTATCTCTGGCTCAGAGAAGATTTCTTGACTGAAATCAAAGTTGTAGTCACATTGATAGGTGCCTTGGTGGTAATTCTCTGCAGCAGGGAAGAGGAAGATTGCTTCATTCTGATTAGGGGCCTTAATCTGCTCAGAGGAGGGGTCACTGCCGTCCCCGGAGCGGAGGCGGATGGAGGAAACATTGTAGGGTGAAGCGTAGGAGCAAGAGATGGCAAAGCGATGGCCCTTCAAAAGCTCTCTGTTCTTGTAATGAACAGGCCCCTGAAAGGTATACAGCTTGGCAAAAGGTTGTCTTGGACGTTCTGAAAAAGTAAAAAAGAGAGTTAAGGGATTACCCACATTCTGTTCGAATAATATAAGGCAATATGTATGAATAGTGTATCTTAAAGTGTTACGTGTAACTTGCAAATCTACAATAAATTATAAAACATTTCTAAAGTTGTATTTTTGAAAGGTTTTATTTCTGTAACATGCAAATTAGTTACTACATTGGAAACATAAACAATACTATTTTTATTTAAAAATAACATCAAAAATAAAGGGGATAATTACCAACACAGTGTAGGAAAGTATTTCTACATTCACTTGGGTCAGTTTCCGTGGCGTTGAGCATAGTGGAAGGACAATCCATGAGATGCTTCTCTGTGCCTTCACACTGAAACAGCGGACCCCAGATTTGAGATTGGGCGCCAAGACCTCTCCCATGGAAAGTATCTGCGAACCCACAGCCAAGATCTCTACAGGCAACTAGAGCAGCCTCTGAGCTGAAGGAGACAGAACACACTGAAGCCCACGAGCCAGTGGACCTCAGCTGGAGCTTCCCTGAACATCTCTCGGGGCCGTCCACCAGCCTCACCCCCTCTGGGGAGACAGAGAGAGACAAGTGAGGGGTCAGAAGGGACAGTATCTTTAATCTTTAGTACTCTCAAACAGTCCATCACACGGCTCAGGGGATATAAACACACGGTAAACAAATGAATTGTCAATACAAGATGGATATCACTACATTTATTTGAGTTACTTTGCAGATTCTGATTAATGATGTGAAATATAAACAACCATTAAATCAGACTTTAGTTACACCTGAGTACAATTCAGGGAAGGTGATTGTCAAGTGCCAACAATCAGGAGAGATATTTGATAGTTGGCGTGTCGAAAGGAGCCAGTTGAGGTGGTTCGGGCACCTAGTTAGGATGCCACCTGGGCGCCTCCCTAGGGAGGTGTTCCAGGCACGTCCAGCGGGGAAGAGACCAAGGGGTAGACCTAGGACCAGGTGGAGGGATTATATCTCTTCGCTGGCCTGGGAGCGCCTTGGGATCCCCCAGTCAGAGCTGGTTGATGTGGCCAGGGAAAAGAAAGTTTGGGGCTCTCTGCTGGAACTGCTACCCCCGCGACCCGACCACGGATAAGCGGGAGAAGATGGATGGATGCTTGAGAAGACTAAACATTTATCTGCAATTGACATGAATGGAAACGAGTAATAAAGTATATTCATTACTCGTTATTCTCTACTAATAGTTCATTAAAGACTGTATATTATGGCTATTTTGCACATCCCTTTCAAGATTTCAAGATTTTCAAAGGTTTATTGACATCATATACACAACTACGGTGTAGTTATGCAATGACTGAACATTTTGGGTCACAGGTTCCTCAACAGCGCATTACAAGACATCTATCAATATGTGTGTACCTCCACCATTAAACTGTCAAATTCTGCACATTTCTTATTCTATCTACATAAGAGTATAATTAATGTGTATAATATCAGTTAAAATAAGTGCTTCAACATAGTTAACATTGCAGGAAAGCAATATATTAGACGTTAAGTACTTTGTCAGACTTAATATTTATCTGTAGATAGATACCCCCAACGTTTTTTTCTTATTTAAAAGAAGACCTTAATCTAAAGTATTATTTAATGTTTAAATAAAGGTTAATTCGTTTGTCTGTTTTGCACATCCTGCTATTAATATATTTGTACATCCTGCACTTAACTGTTTTATTGTAGAGATCACAGTATTGTCTTGATTTTTTATATTCTATATTTATATCACAGACCTTCTACTTTCCCCCTATGAAAGTATGTACTCTTAATATTTTTGTAATCAAATATAACACATAAAAACAAGAATTCAATAACGTGCTTTAACCACAAGGTACACACAGCCATAATAACTTTGTATTATTAGTGTAGGACACTGTACAACATCTGAAGATGTGTAGTTTTATTCATGCTTACACATAATTGTACAGCATATTGCTATACTATTTCAGACTCAGTATTTACATTCTTATATTCAAAGAAAATCAGTAATATCTTTAAAAACTACAGTCCTTTTATATCAGCTGTGCACCGTTATGGTTTAAATATAACCTATCTGTGAATTAGATCAAATGTAAAAGTCAGCCGAATTAGTGTTGATATTGCAAGGAGACGTATTGTGTGAAGAGAAATTGAAGATGTTGTTTAATTGTTGAATATATTTATGATCCACGTCAAGTATTCAGTTTCGGCGGCATTTCTTCAGTTTTTCCAAAGGTCTTCTCATCAGGGCTCTATAAATAAAGAACTACGGCAGATCTGTAATATTTAATGCAGCCGAACCGTGTATTACAATGCCGTTATGTGATGACTTTCAAAGAGAAAAGCAAGAGCACTCGGAATTAAGTATTATTTTATTCTTTTTAAATGTTTTCCGGATTTCATATCATATAAACACCAAATCCCAGCATGCATTGCGGCTAAAACATCCAATCAGCGAGCTTAAACCCTAGCTGAGGATCTTGGGTAATCGCTCGAAATGCCTACGTCTGTTTCCGGTTATTTTTATTTTGAAATTCAGTTCCTGACGGACGCCAAAAAAGCCAGAGATTATGGAATTAAACCAATAAATAAAAGCAAGGATAATTGTGTGTTATTGGTGAGTAATAACAGTGTGTTATTTTGAAAAGAATAACAAATTAGAAGGAAAAAAAGATTTAAAAAGGCTCTGAGCCCCATTTATTTTCATTACATTACATTACATTGCATTTAGCTGACGCTTTTATCCAAAGCGACTTACAATAAGTACATTCGACCAGGAAGACACAACCTTGAAGAAAACAGAATCATATAAGTATATCAGGTTTCATAGAGCCAAACATTTCAAGTGCTACTCAACTGGCTT